GTGACCCTAAGGTAAATATGGACTTAGGGTGACAGTGATGTGTCAGTGTGGGTCTGTCGATTGTAGCAGATGCACCTGTGGGGCAGGATGTTGTAGTGGGGAGGCTCTGCTTGTGTGGGGGTAGGGGGTGTATGGGAACTCTCTTACTTCCTGCTCCATTTTGCTGTGAACCTAAAAATGCTCTAAAAAATAAAGGCTTTTCTTATTTTCTTTGTTGAGGTAACATTGCTTTATAACATTAAAGTCTTTTATGTATTAAAACAAAACAAAACAGAGAGACAAGTAGAAAACAAATAATATAATGGTAGAACTAAGCCTAACCTTAGTGATAGTTACATTAAATGTTTTGTTTTTTATAATTTTATTTATTTATTTATTTATTTTCCCCCAAAGCCCCAGTAGATAGTTGTACATCATAGCTGCACATCCTTCTAGTTGCTGTATGTGGGACGTGGCCTCAGCATGGCCGGAGAACCGGTGCGTCGGTGCGTCGGCGCGCCCCCGGGATCCGAACCCGGGCCGTCAGCAGCGGAGTGCGTGCACTTAACCGCTAAGCCACGGGGCCGGCCCTCACATTAAATATTAATGGACTAAACCCTCCGGTTAAAAGGTAGAGAGTGTCAAAATGGATAAAGAAGCCAGACTCTACTACATGCTGTCTGTAGGAGATTGACTGTACATATAAAAAGCACAGGTGAAAATAAGCAGATGCAAAATATATATATCTTGCAAGCAGTGAGCATAAGAAGGGTGGAGGGGCTATATTTATATCAGATAAAATAGATTTCAAGATATGGAGTATAAGCAATGTAAAGGGGAAATTTCTATTCATAAAAGGGTCATCTCGTCGAGAAGACGTATCAGTTATTAATGTGCCTGATAACAGAGCCTTAAGATACATGAAGCAAAATTGACAGAATTAAAGGAAGAAATAGGCAATTCCACAATCATTGTAGGAGATTTTAGCATCTCTCTCGCGCCAACTGTTAGAACAAAAGACCAAAGAAATCAGTAAAGACAGAGGATCTGAACAACAGTCTCAGGCGTCTCTGCTTGACTGATATTTTTAGAAAGCTACTCCCATCAAAAGCAAGATGCAGGTTCCTGCTAAGTGCACATCGTGCACTCTCTAGACCTGCTGTGCCCTAAAATAAGTTTCAAAAATAAGTAAAGAAGTGAAGCTGTACTTGTTTGCAGATGGCGTGATTCTTTATAGGGAAGATCCTAAGAAATCTACAAAAAACTGCGAGAACTATTAAGTGAATTTAGCAAGATCTCAGAAATCTAAGTTAATGTGCAAATTTTTGTTGTATTTTTATATACTAGCAGCAAACTATTGGAAAATAAAATTAGAAATTCTATTTACGATAATACCAAAAAAATAAAATATTTAGTAATAAGTTTAACAAAAGATGGGCAAGACCACGTCTTCACTGAAAACCACAGGACGTTGCTGAGAGAAGTGAAAGAGCGGCTGAAGGAATGGAGAGAGCATGTTCACAGATTGGAAGACTCAATCCTGTTAAAATGCCAGTTATCCCAGTCAAAATTCCAGCAGGCTTTTTTTTTTTTTTAAATTATTTATTTATTTATTTATTTTCCTCCAAAGCCTCAGTAGATAGTTGTATGCCATAGTTGCACATCCTTCTAGTTGCTGTATGTGGGATGCCGCCTCAGCATGGCCAGAGAAGCAGTGCGTCGGTGCGCACCCGAGATCCGAACCCAGGCCGCCAGTAGCGGAGCGTACGCGCTTAACCGCTAAGCCATGGGGCCGGCCCTCCAGCAGGCTTTTTTGTAGAAATTGACAAGATGATTCTAAAATATAGAAATGCATATGACCCCTAATTGCCAAAGCAATTAAACAGATCAAGGCTTATATTACCTGATTTCAAACTTTCCATAGAGCTTCGGTAATCGCGACAGTGTGGTATTGGTGAAGGACAGACACATAGGTGAGTGAACAGAATAGAAAGCCCAGAATAGAACCACACATGTACACTCGACTGATTTTCAACAAAGATGTCAAGGTAATTCAGTGTGAAAAGAAAAGTCAACAACTGGATATACGTATTAAAAAAACGAACCTTGATCTTCACACCATACACAAAAGTAACTCAAAACGTAAAAGCTAAAACTATGAAACTTCTAGAACCAAACTGGAAATCTTTATGACCCTGAGGTCAAAGGCAGAGATTTCTTAGGATACAAAAAGCAAGAACCATAAAAAACGGATGCGTTCTATTTTATCAGAATGAAAACATTTGCTGTTCTCGATACCCATAAGAAAATGAAAGGCAAGCCACAGAAGGGGAGAAAATATTTGCAATACATGAATCTGACAAAGGATATATAAAGAACTGTTACAACTCAGTAATAGAAGGACAACCCAATTAAAATGGCCAAAAGATGTGAGCAGACCCTTCACAGAAGATACATAAATGGCCAGTAAGCACGTAGAAGGTGCTGGCCGTTGCTGGTTATCGGGCAGGTGCAAGTTAAAGCAGCGGTGGGTACCACTGCACACCCATCAAGACAGTGCCAGTGCTGGCAAGGGTGCTGGCAGATGAACCCCCACCCTCTACTGGTGGGAATGCACATGGTGCAACCACTATAGGAAACAGTTTCTTAGAAAGTTAAATAGGGGCCAGCCCAGTGGCGTAGCTGTTTGGTTTGTGCGTTCTGCTTCGGCAGCCCGGGGTTCGCCGGTTCAGATCCTGGGCGTGGACCTGCTCACTGCTCGTTGGGCCATGCTGGGGTGGCGTCCCACGTAGAACAGCTACAACTCTACGACTGTGATAGACAACTATGTACTGGGGCTTTGGGGAGAAAAAGGAAAAAGGGAGTTTGGCAACAGAGGTTAGCGCAGGGCCAGTCTTCCTCAAAAAAGAGAAAACGAAAGTTAAGTATACACTCACCTTGACCCAGTCATTCCAGTCCTAGGTGTTTACCCAAGAGAAATGAAAACTGTCCACACAAAGACATGTTTAAGAATGTCCACAGCGGCTTCATTCACAGTCACCAGGATTGGGACACGGCCCAAGTGTCCATGAGAGGCGGATGGGTACAGAAAATGGCACATATCCTCATAATGAAGTTTCATTCAGCCATAAAAAGGAACAAAGTATGGATGAACCTAAAGATTGTTATTCCGAGTGGAAGGAGCCAGACACAAAAGTGTGCTCCTAGAAAACATGAACTAGTGTGCAGCGACACAGATCAGGCCGCCTGGGGCCAGGGCTTGAGGGCTTGCAGAGTGGCTCAGGCGTCCTCTGCGGGTGGTGGAGACGCCCCATGCAGGTTGTCTGAACTCACGGAGTGTGTACTCTCAATGGATGCAGTTGCATCATTTGACGCAAGTCAAACCTCGGTAACATTGACCAAATAGTGGATGAAAGTGTTGATTGAAATCTTGGACTTGGATTCCTGAATCGAAGTGGTGTTTTATGACTTAGTATGACCCTGGGGATGCGTCTTACCAGAGAGTGGGCAGAGGGTCTGTGACTCTGGGACTTTTCCATGAGGCAGGGAAAGATGGTCTCTGCTGAGCAAAACTTAAATGGACAAAAAGAAAGGGTGTGACTTGAGCACATCCTGTATGTGAGGTGGCACTGCTCGGTAGTTGCCATCTAAAGGGATCTCACGCTGTAGAAAGAAGGCGGCGGTCAGGGAGAAGCATGCATTTTTAATGGGATGGCCTGGATTGGGGTGGGGAGGGGCGCTTACCAAGGCCCCCAACAAGGAGGTGGTTCCTGCCTCCGCAGGGCTCAGCCTCTCCTCCCGGCAGCCCTGGACGGGACCTGGTGTAAAGTAAATGACAGGACAGACCCCAGCCCATGTCCCAACATCACTTGCTGGCGAGTGTCGCCCCGGCCTTCACCCTCCCCCACTCAGCAGCCCGGGGCAACGGCATGTGGGGAGGCTGGTCAGGCCTCTTGGGCAGTGGGCTCTTCCCCAGGACCCCCAGGCGGGAGCTCGCCCACTGCCCTGGGCCTGCTGGTGTTGGTCCCTGGGCCAGTCAAGGGAGTGGTTCCTCGTCCCCCAGCCCCAGGTGCGTTCTCTGTGGCCCCTCCTCAAGGGGAAGTAAGGGAGTCAGCAGACGTGGTCCAGGTTCCACCTCCGGGAGCCTGGAACAGGTCCCTGCATGTGCACGGCTTCGACCCTGCAGCTGTCTTTGTCAAGTAAAAAGCCTCTTTAGAGGTGACTTGTACCTGTCAAAATGTTTATCCAGCTGAGACAGAGTAGAATTATGGTCACCACCTTGCAGGTTAACAGAAGTTTGTTAACAACTCGACTGACAGTTGACCTCAGGGGTCCTTCGGGTCAGCACGTTTTCTGTGGTTGCGTCAGCACTGTGACACGGGAGCAGTAGGTCACATGGGGTCAGGCTTCAGGTCTTAGTGTTAGGAAAGTGCTTCCCAGTGTTGCTCATGTGTTGTCTGAGTTTTTCTGCTCTGGCACACCCCGCACCATGGGGTAGACAGTTCCTTTCGTCCCCCCAAGGTGACGTCTTTCAGGCACTCTTCTGTGACGAGAGCAGGGTGAGCAGCAGAAGACTCCGAGGGTCCCTGACCAGCCTGTGTCTGCTCCAGGGACACCCTTGCCCCTAACAGTTCTGTCTCTGGGTAAAAATGCTCGAAATGCAAGTCAGGGTTTTACTAGGACAGAATGAGATGACTGATGGACCAGTCCCGTCTGAGCTCACGGACAGGACTGGCTCATCTAGAACCTTCTGCTGCTCAGGCCTTCCTCTGGGGAGTGGTGAACGGCTGAAAGCTATTGGAGGAAGGAGTGAGTCTGTCCAAAGTCCAGATCCAGATGAGCTGAACACTCCGGTACCCCTGCTCTGGGGCTTCTTATGGGAAGTCCAGTTGGACCCCAAGCACCAGAGGCTGAGGCCTCCAGGTGATGTGGCCGTACAATGACCGGCAGTAGGGCCTCACCGTTCGCTCTGATTTTCAGACCTGGGACCAGGGATCTGCAGGGTTCAGGACTGAGACTCCTGGTTGCTTAGCAACCCTACGCTGACTGCTGATCACTGGGCAGCGAGGATCTGGATGTCTGCAGCTTGCGTCCTGGAGGGCCAGGTAAGGGTCCTCCACCTCAGCCCCACCCAGTGCCCTGGAAGGCGGCGCCCGTGTCCACACAGCACCCTCTCTGTTGCAGACCCTGTGCTCCAGAACATGGTGCTCCAGCGCGCCGTCCTCCTGGCCGGCCTCCTGGTGGAAGTTGCCAGCAAGTCCTCAGACAGTGCGGTAGGTGCTGGCACGCAGCGTGGGTGCCAAGAGGCAAAGTCAGAACCCTCTCGTCCCAGCCCCTCATGGAGGCGGTGGGCCCTTCACCCAGGGGGTCTCACCTTCGACCTTCAGGGGTCATCCTTGCCTGGGCCCCAGAGACACTGACTGTGCCCACAGTTGAGGTCAGAGGGGCTGTGCCTCGAGGGCAGCAGACACATGGCCCCATCTGCACCTCCTCTGTTCTGCCTGCTAGAACCTTCTTTCTCTCTTTGCCAAACTGACCCTGTTGCTGTAATTGAAATAGGGTCTCTACAGAGCTGCCCCTCCAGGCACTGACTAGAGTCCCCAGCTGCCTGCCAGGCTACTGGGGTGGGCGGAGACTGCTCCCTCCAGGCGAGCAGCGGCATCGGGCAGCGTCCACTGCAGGCCTCCACGGCCAGGCATCCTGGCTCTCCCAAGCCAGTGACATGGGTGTGCTGAGCTGTGGTTTCTGGAGGAGCCCCAGCTGTGCCCGCACACACCCAGCCACACATCGTTCAGGCCGGTGGGGCCTTCCAGCATCTCTGCCAGGGGTGGATGGGACCGGACGGCTAGGGCATCCCTCGAGGTTTGGCCTCAGCTGTGAGCTGGCCTTCGGCCCCTCCTGTGGTGGCGTGAACGTTCCCGCCATTCCTTAGACGGCCCTCACTGTTGACTGTGTTCCGGTCATGAGAAACAAAGCTCAGCTGTGATAGACACACGTGAGCCGAGCTCCCCCTGCAAGTCCCCCTCGAGGCCCGTCCAGCCATCCAGCCCGTAAACGGCAGCCTTCGGCACACCTGTGCCCCGCGCCCCCACTCCTGGATGTGGACACGGCAGGAGTGAGTTCATCCACTGGGCATCTCCTCTGTGGGGCCAGACAGGAAACCCCCAGGGAGAAGTGTCGTAGAACTGCAGAGAACATCAGTGAAGCAGCTGGGACCTGTGGGGCGACTTTCTTCGGGAGCACAGGGCAGACGTGCCTGTGTCAGTCCGCAGGCCTTCGCCAGGGAATCACGGGGCCTGGGTGTATCTTCATGTTTTATCGTAGTCTGGAAAAACATGTTTCCTTCCTTATGAAGGAGTCTAGAATTGGCACTGCATATGCTTAGCAGCTTTAGTTCCCAAAGCCGCCATCTGGCAAGTGGCGACTAACACGAATAATTTCACGGGTTGGAATGCCCCACTTTGTGCCCACCTGTGGCCCATGAGGCAAGAGGCAGTAGCTCTGCCCTGGACCCAAGAGACCCACGTGGAGAAAGGGCCGCAGCCCCCACCACCTCCCAGGTGAGGCTCTGAGTGGTCGGCCAGGCAGGCTGCAGAGGGAGATGACGACAAACCACAGGGTGCCTGCAGACCGGGAAGGGTCCCAGGACCACTCCCTGCCCCGCCAGGCTGCCCCCAGCCCAGGCCCCCGTCAGAACTTCTGAGTGGGCCCCCGGGGGATTCCCCTTCCTGGACTTTGGGAGTCTGGGTGCTGGGGAACACACCTCGGCTGGTCCCGCCTGACACTCCGCTTGTTTATTCAGTCATCAGACTCTCGCTGTCAAGCACCAAGTTCTGTCTCAGGGAGCATCCATGCAGTGTAGCCATGAGTCCTCACACCCCGGGTAATCAGGGTACAGTCACCTGATGCTGAATCAAGAAGAGGCCAGAGCCATGGGCATTGGGATGAGCTTGTGAGGTGCCCCCTCTGTGGACGCCACCCTTGGCCTGGCCTGCATGAGTCACCTGGCTGCGGGGTTGGAGACTCACCGCCATCTCCCCTCTAGGGCCAGCAGCCCGAGTGTTGTGTGGACGTGGTGGACGTCAATGCCACCTGCCCAGGCACAAGCCTGTGTGGCCCAGGTAAGCCGCTTTGGCCTGGGCTGACCTAGACCTGCCTCAGTGATGAGCACGGCGCTCGTGCGCGCTGCGGAGCTGTTGTGAGCAGGAGGGCACACAGACCTCTCAGGAAGGAGGCTGGAGTGGGACTGGGAGCCGGGCGAGGGGCTGGAGGAGTGGCAGAGGCAGCAGGAAGGCCTGGCCGCCTCTTCCCGGGTGTGGGGTGGGGCCCTGGGAGGAGACTGTGGCTCTGAGCAGTGGGAAGTGGGGGGGGGAAGCCCTTACCTGTCCCCTCCTGGGGCGTTTCAGCTGGGCCTGAGAACTGCTGACGTAGATAGGCAAACGGGGGAAAGCGCAGAAATGTGTACAGGTTTACTTGACACAGGAGCCCTCATGAGGCAGCAAAGACCCAAAGAAGTTGCAAAACCTGAGCGTTTTCCTGTTCAGTTGAACAAAGAGACTATTGTGGAAAAGTAACTGGATTGTGTGGGCAGGCTGCTGGAAGATGGCAGTTGTTTCAGCACGGCCTGACTCCTGTCCTTGAGGATTCGACTGTTTCTTCCCTGAGGGGGTTTCCTGTTCTGCTCTCAGGAAGAAAAAGGGAGCTCAGAGCATCCTTCTTGCACCTGCTGTTTTCTAATTGTCTTTAGCTGAAAACAATCCTTATGCCAAAGAGGCATACTGGGGGCAACGTGTTCTGGCTTCCTTCCGTCCTCCATGTGAAACTTGGAGCACCTTTATATCAAGTGAGGACGGCAGTGGCTGTCTTTGATGAATTTCCTGGTTTGTGGTTTGAATGTCTCTGGTGACGGGCTGGGGTTTCTTGTGAACTTTCTGAGTGGTTCACACAGCAGCAGGCACAAAGTTGTCCCATGTAATTTGTCAAGGTGTTTCTCTGAAGCTTGTATGAAGTCGTCTAGCCTTAGTTTGTAGGGCTTTGGGGAAAGGGCAGTTTTAGTTCTTAGTGATTCCAAGTCAGAAGGGTGGGGGAAAATTGGAAATGTTAGTTTGGAGAGTTGTAGCCAGATATTGGAGGAGACTGGGAGAATTCAGGATCCAGTTCAATTTGCAGGTAGATAAACCTCAAAGACAATAGCAAGATTAGAATCTGAGATCCATATGGGTGATTTTAGTTTCTACTGAAACATAATTTTTCTCTCTACAGTCACCCTCATTTCTACCTAAGATAATCACAGTAAGGCTAATTTTCTTGTAAAATAAGTCTGGCCTCACTAAACTTGGCCTGGTTATTTACATAAGTGTGGCAAAAACAGCGATGACCATATAGGTAGGCTCTTTTAATCTTCCTTGCTGGGCCTTTCACTGGAGTCTCAGACTGGACTGTTAAAAGCCTCTCGAGGCTAGGAAACCAAGCCAAGGACTCGCCATTGGTCTTGCCTGCAGTACCTATGGATTTGGGCAAATTCCTCTCTTTTCAAGGTCCCAAAAATATCCTGAGTTTCCTGGGCCTGCCAAGAGGTGACTTTTCTTACTCACCTGGTAAGGCTGCTGGGAACCCTGTAAGCAAGGTACCAGGTGGCTTTTTAGAGGAGCTTTATTGGCTGTGTAGTCGACCTTAGCTCCTTAAATCTGCCTGGCCACTGGTCCTGGCTCTCCAGCTGCACTTCATCCCTGCACACAGCCCAGCCTGGGGCCTCCTCGCGGCCGGCAGCCCTAGGCAGCTTCGCCAAGGAGCCCAGTTACCTCAGAGCTGGTTAGAGGGGTGCTTCTCGGGAGAATCGCTGCACTTGCGCCAGGTCTGTGTCCAGGACCCCGTGTTCCTAGGCCTCCTGGAGTAGCCTTTCAAGTAGACACCATGTACCTCCCACACAGTCCGCCCCTCCCGAGAAATGCCAAGTGAAGGAAAAGAGCCCAACTACTTTAGAAGAGAAACTTTGTTTTTACAAGAAGGCCTATTTCTAATACTGTTTATGACTCCATGTTGGATCCAACATGGCCTCCTGGTATGGTGCTTGGCTTGTCTGCCCACAGCTGTGCCCACGTCACTCTTCAGGACCTGCCACCAGCTTGGCGTCACTGCAGACAGGCCTTCCTCTCACAGTGACCCATTAGTGTGTAGATTAAACGTCAGTAAAATTCATTATGAAGGGCTCTGCGGCCTGTGGCTTGTCCCTAGACACTGCCCCAGTGGCTGGCACTGGCCTTCAGCACCTGCAGTCCATACCAGTCATTTGTGTGTTAGCTCAGCTTCTGCTAAATGTTGGGGACGTTAAGAAAAAACAAAGGTGTAAGACAATTCCTGCCCCAAAGGGTGCAGTGGCAATGTGGACTGTCCATAAACTGCTGGCCGGCGAGAGCTGGCCCACTCCCAGCACCTGGCAGGTAGCTCTCTGGGCCCCCAGGCTGGGGGAGGGTGGGGCTGCTGGCGGCAGGGTCAGTCTGGGACGGAAATGGAGTTTGAGTGTGTGAGACCCCCAGGGAGAGGTACAGGGGCAACAGAGGGAGCGAGGGTCTCATCTGGGCCGGGGGCAGCACCACTGACAGGGTGGGCCTTGTCTCTCGTGGCGGCTGAGTGAGGCGTGCACCATGGCAAGGTGGCATGAGGCTGGCGGTCAAGGCTGTGGTGGCGGGAGGCGGAGGCTCACCTGGTCCTCTCCCAAGCGCGAGGCCGTACATGGCATCTATTTCGGATTCCCGTCCCCGGCCTCTCTGAAGCGTCTTCAAGACATCCAGGAAAGGACCCCCAGAGGTCCCTGTGTACGAGAGGACTCGCTGCGGTTCCTGTTGAGTTTGTTTCTTTTTCTGAAATGGGACCGTGTCATTCCATCCAAATGACCAGAACGGGTTAATCAGTTGTTTTACAAACTCAAAGTGTAGAAAACTCCAGCAGACGTGGTTTTGCTCTGAGCTGAGTACCTGTCTCTCGCACAGGCTGCTACAGGCGCTGGAACGAGGATGGGAGCGTCAGCTGTGTCCGCTGCAGGAACGGAACCTACAAGGGCTCTGAGTGCAGAGGCCGTACGTCGTCGCCTGGTCACCCCGCGTCCCCCCCCCCCCCCGCCTGGCCTGCTTGTCCCCAGGGCCCGCATCTCCAAGTTCTGGAGGAACTGGTGGGAGTCTCTGTTCTTGTCCCCCAGTAGCGGGTGGCCCATTTCACCCTGGACCACTGTCCCTCGAGGGAACACCCCCCGGAGCCTCCCTCTCCAAGTCCTCTTGTCCACTGAGGACAGCTGTGAGGTGAGGGCGGCTCCACCTCCACGGTCACCTCCCTTTCTCGTTTCCAGCCCATGATTCCCCTTCGGGCTGTGTCTCTGGCTCCCTGGGGATCCTCAGTGGGGTTCCCATGTGTGGCCCAGGACCTTTCCATGGGTCTGGGCTGCCCACAGAGCCGGCAGCACTGACAGCTCTGCTCCCCTACAGTCGCTGGTCGAGGTGCACAGTTCCCGGTGAACAGAAGCGCAGGGACGCCTGGGCGGCCAAATTTCAGTAAGTCTCTCAGCTTGCCAGACCAGAGTGGGGCCTCTGCCCAGGTCCTGTGAGGGGAGAGGGGGCATCGCCTGAGCCGTTCCCAGTGCAGACCCCAACCACTGATGCTGGCCATAGCAGGGCTGTGTCCACGGTCAAGGTCCAACTCCACCCCAGCCAAGAGCTCTGCGTATAGGGACCCTGGTCACGGAGCAGGGCCAGTGGCGAGTCCAGCAGCCCCTGGGGCTAGGGTCAGTTGCCTGGGTAGAAGCCTTTGTCACAGCCCTCCGATGTGCCTCTGAACAGTTCTGGTCAGTGGAAGCCCTTCCAGCTGCACATCTCACCCTTGGCCTCATGCCCAGTCCACTCAGCCCCGAGGCCCTTGGGAACTCAGGATGTGCAGTTCTCCGGAGATGGGTGGACACCCTGAGGTGCCCTTGCCCTCGTCCCTGGTGGCTCTTCTAGGATGTAGGGCTCGGAAGAGACTGCAAATACTGCATGCCAGACAGAAGTGCCCGTCACGCCACCTGGTGCTTAGGGACAGACACAGGACCCACCTCCTGGATGCTTCGTCCCCAGCCTGCTCCTGTCTGCCGGGCATCCCATCCTGCCCAGATGCCAACCAGCCTCGGGGCATGGCCGTGCCAGGGGGCCAGTGCCGTCAGGGAGCAGGACCTGCCCTGGGGAATGTCCGACTCCTCCTCTGAGGTGACCAGTCCTTCAGCAGAGGACAGACATGTTGACCTGGGCTGAGGGCTCAGGCTTTCCTTGTGAGTCTCACGACCAGAAGCAAGTGGACTTGTGCTGATCTTGACCACCGAGGCCGGCCACACAGAGCAGCAGTGTTGTAGGGTGGGGTCGGCTCAGACAGCTGACCTGGGGCTGGGCCTGGCAGCGGGGACGGATGGAGGAGGGCCTGAGGGGCTGCTGTTAGCCCCTTTGCATTGCAGCAAATCTGGGGCAGGACACTTTCGCCCACTTCACTGGCAGTCATCCCTCCTCTGGGCTCCATTGCGGCTCTGGCCGCACCTCGTGTCTATGTCTCAGGATCAGAAAGCCAGCTCCCCATAGGTGTGTACAAGCACATTTCCCCAGCTGATGGGCCGCTGACCATCCAGAGCCCTCGGCGTCGGTCAAGACAGGCAGGGCTCATGGCACTGGGAAGGCCGTCCCGGTGACAGGGAACAAGCTCCTGAGAGGTGAGGGTGTAGGGGAGCCGCTGCCACCAGGCTGAAGGCTCTGGCCTGGTGTGCCAAGGGGCGTGGGGCCCCACGGTCTCTGCTGAGTCTTAAGGAAAAAGCCTGAGGAGCTGGGGGGCTGGAATCCCTAACCCTCTCCACATGCCCCCTCCCCTTGAAGCACGAGGCCTAGAGAGGTCGCCTAACTTCCCCAGAACCCACAGCCGGGCATGGGTGAGCCTGCATGGGGGTCCCAATTCCCTGAGTGCAGAGCCCTCGGCCCCTGCCTGTGGCCAGCCCCTGTGGGGGCCCTGGTGTGTTCAGGGAACAGAGGTCTGGGGAGGAGCCTGGGGCCGCCCCCTCCTCTGACCCCACCCAGGCTTGCCAGTGGCCACTGCTTACTTTGCTTGCAGGGGGCCCTCAAGTGGCAGCCTCCCTTTTCCTGGGGACGTTCTTCATCAGCTTGGGCCTCATCCTCTCGGTGGCTGGGTTCTTCTACCTCAAGCGTGCCAGGAAACTCCCCAAGATCTTCTACGGAAGAAACAAAGGTATCTCCTTGTGCCGCTGCGGCAAGACCCTGCCCAGCCAGAGGGGCCCTGACCAGTGCACACCCCCCCACAAGGCCACAGGTGCTGCCCGGGGGCTCAGAGAAGAAGTGGGGGCTGTGGCTGGGAGCAGCCTAGATGCAGGGTGTCCAGGCGTGAAGCCTCCTGGTGAACACAGCAAGAAGGGGATCGGGTTATCAGGTGGTTCTTGGGTCTGAAAATAAGAGAGGCAGTTGCTTCCTAGAAATGCTCCTGTGAGGATTTCGTAGGGGTCTGAGGTTAAAGGGCATTGGCCTGACTCAGCATCTGGGGCCTCATGGTGGGGTTGGGGGAGATGGCATCCCTGATCTTGGGGCCACCCACTTGCAGCTCCCCGGCCGCTGCATCCTGTGTCCACCCTGCTCTGCTGGGGTTAGGCTGGCCAGGCTGGTGCAGGGACAGTGGGGTTCCATGCCACCCCAGCTTACCCTGGGCCTGGACGCCAGCCCTTTTCCTCCTGAAGAGATGGGTGTCACTCCTGCTGTGCCCTTCAGGAGTGCCAGGCAATGGTCCAGCCAAGGGGTCTGAGCCCTGGTGGACGGTGCCAGTGGGCAATTAGCCAGAGCCCGGCCTGGCAGAGGCCTCCTCACCTGGCCTCCGTGAGACGCCTCTCCGCCCACTCCAGCCAGTGCTGGGTGCCTCAGTGGGGCTGTTGTAGCTCCCCAGACCTGAGAGTCGAGGGCTGGGCCCCTCGCTGCCAGTCAGGATGGGCGCTCCGGGGTCAGCTCTGGGAGGCTGCTGTGCAGCGGTGGGCACGGGGGTCCCAGTGTGTCTGTGCGGCAGCCAGGGCGGGCCCACTCAGCATCTGTCCTCCCTACTGCCCTCAGAGCTGGACTTGGTCAGCTTAGGTGGCCACGGGAGTAGGGGGAAGCTGGGATAGTGGAGGCCCATGGCAGCTCCCTAGTGGCAAGGGAGGGGGGCGGAGGTGGTCTCCCCAAGGCACACCCACAACCTGGGCATCGCCTGGGGCTGAAGGCAGTCTCGCCTGAGGCACCTGCTGGGACCTGGAGAGATGGAGCCACATTGCTCTCTTGGCTGCGCTGGAGGCCTGGAGAAATGCACTTTCTAAGGACTGGCTTGTGCACTCCGCCAAGAGGGCAAGAAGGTGGGATCTGGGGAGGGACGGCTCACCCTGGGATGCTTGGGGGCCCCCCACCCCCGCGTGCAGGTGGGAAATGGGGCAGACGGCCAGGCTGAGGGCACTGCTGGGCAAAGGTGTGGAGATGGGACTGGGCTGAGCCTAGAGCTGGAGAAGAACCTCTGCAGGCCCTGCAGACCCCCGCCCCAGGCTGAGACGGCTGCGCGGCCTTCAGGTGACACCTGTGTTCTTCCCCCGCAGCCCCCGTCCTGCAGCCTGGAGAAGCCGTAAGTAACCCGGAGGGGCAGGGCTGAGTGATCTCATGTCTCGTGCTGTGCTGGGAGCCGAGCGCCCTCGTGTCGCGTGCTGTGCTTGGGGCTGAGTGCCCTCGTGTCGCGTGCTGTGCTGGGGGCCGAGCGCCCTCGTGTCGTGTGCTGTGCTGGGGGCCGAGCGCCCTCGTGTCGCGTGCTGTGCTGGGGGCCGAGCGTCCTCGTGTCGCGTGCTGTGCTGGGGGCCGAGCGTCCTCGTGTCGCGTGCTGTGCTGGGGGCCGAGCGTCCTCGTGTTGCGTGCTGTGCTGGCGTCCGTCCGCAGTTCTCAGTGAGCCTTTTCTCCTTTTCAAGGCAGCGATGATTCCCCCGCCGCAGTCCTCAGGTACGTCAGCTCTTGCTCTCCCTCGGCCCTTCGGGGTTCCTTGTCTCTGGGCGAGAATTTCAAAACGCTAGACCCATAGTGCTTTACGGGAGTGTCCCACTCCAGGATCAGCCACCCTCCCCAGGCCGCTGCAGGGATGGGCCAGGCTCGGCGGGTGCCTGGACCTGCAGCCCTCCACCCCCCAGCTGCTCAGGACACCCACCAAGTCCCCCCTTAACCAACCAGAGCTTTCATGACTTTTCCCTTTTATTCCTGAGACGTTGAGTCTATCAAGGAGGATCCCCAGCGTGAGGTCAGAGGTCACCTCTGCTGCCCTCGCTTGTCGACCTGAGCAGCGGGGGAGCGGCCAGCCAAGCACAGGGCCCTTGAGTGGCCGCTCCTGAGCAGCTGGTGTTTTCATTTTTCTGGATCAGGCACATCACGCCTCAGAGAGTTCCAGGAGTAGGTGCGGGTTTCACCTGTGTTACAGGTGACACCGTGAGCACAGAGGTCGCACAGCTACAGGCCACAGAGCAGGAGTCCTGGCCTCCTCCCCAGTCCATGTTCTTGCCACTGTGCAGAGATCTGGAGTGGGGACAGGTGAGGACGTCCCTCTTCTTTGGAGACAGAGAAGTTCTGTGATCAAGGCTAGATTGGCCCTGTTCCGTAGAACACTTGTCTCTGGTCTCTCTAACACAGCACCGTTTACAGCATCGTGAGTTTCCTAAGTTGCCTGTGTTAGTCTCCCAGGGCTGCTGAAACAAGTGACCACAAACTGGGTGCTTGAGACAACAGAGACGCCTTCTCACAGCTCAGGAGGCCAGAAGTCAGAAGCCAAGGTTGGGGGGCACTCCCTCCAGAGGCTCCAGGGGAGAATCCTTCCTGCCTTTTCCAGGCTCTGGGGGCTCCAGGCGTCCCTGGGCTTGTGGCTGCATCCCTCCAGCCTCTGCCCCCATCTTAACGTGTCTCCTCCTCTCTCTCTGCCTGCCTCTTTGAGGACACTGGTCACTGAATTTAGGGCCCACCAGATAATCCAGAGGATCTCATCTCGAGATCCTTCACTTAATCATATCTGCAAAGACCATTTTTCCAAGTAAGGCCGCATCCGCAGGTGCCAGGGCTTAGGACGTGGACACACGTTTTAGGGGCCACCACCCATGCCCCTGCATTGCATCGTATGACCTGTGCCTCTGTGATTCAGGGGAGCCATGCCCTCACCCAGGCCAGGTACTCAGGCATCTGGGGAGAGGGGACGTTCGTCGCGAGCACCTTGGCTGTCGTGACCTCACAAGCTGGGGCTCGGCGGGGTGTCCTCCCGAGGCCACCCCACACCCCACGCCCAGGAGCTCTGGGGAGGGCTGCATCCCTGCTGTCCCAGGCCCTGCTCTGACCCCGCCTGTCTCTGACTGTTTCAGCGCGGAAGTCGCGCTACGTCAGGCGTGAGAGGCCCTCAGACAGGGACACGGGCCCCACTGCTGTCTCCTCGGCGGAAGCCCGGGTCAGCAACGTCTGACCTGGGGCCCACCCACAACGCCGCACACCACCTTGGAGGGAGTCCAGCGCATAAAAGGCAGGCACTGCCCAATGCGGCCTCGGGACAGGCCGGGACACGGCCCCTGGCTTGGCTCCTCTGTCCCCTGGCGACAGACGGTGAGTGGGAACCTGCCCAGCTCCTGAAGGTGATCCCTCCCCACCTGCAGCTGCTCGGTGTGACTGACCGGAGCAGGCGTCCCTGAGACGGGCTCAAGACGAGGCCGTGTGGGGCCTGGGCCCCCCAGGAGAGACAGCGAGCTCCCAGCAGCCAACAGCCTGTGGGGACCGCTGGGCTGCTCCGTGCCTGGCCGCTCAGCCCTCGGGAGCCCACAGCGGGCAGACACCCCTGCACCACCAGGCCAAGTGGCCCCCTGGAACCCCTTCTAAGAGGAGAGAGAGTGAGGCCTTCCAGTGTTCCAGCCGGTGTCCGGACAGGGTGGAGTGGGGCCAGGGAACCCTGATGCGCCTGCAGGACTGTCTTGTGGCCAAGACCCCTGAGCCCTCGACCACCAGTTTCCAGGAGCTGGAGAAGCAAGTTCCTTGGTTTCGTACTGACTTCTGTTTTTAAGCAGAAATGCATTTTGTAGAAAATTCTGAGAGGCACTGCCGTCCTTGTCTGCCCCCTGCCCCTGATCTGCTCACCATACCTGGGTCCCACGCCCTGCAGGCCCTCGGCCACCCAGGGACGGACACTGGCCTGAAGCTGCTGGAGGTCCAGGCCGCATCCCCACTGGGACACGTCCACCCGGGGTCACGTTTACCTGTGACTGCTGCCTGGACTGTCAGGTCTTGCTGGACCTGTGGAGGCCGTGCTGGCTAGTGGTCCCAGCTGCCCCAGGCCTCGAGGCGCCACCCTGCGCATTTCCAGCCTTGGCTGGTTGCTGACACCTGTGGGTTCCTGTGGAGAGAGGAGCGTTTGCGGCCACCTCCCCCGCACTGGGCCGTGCTGACTGTACTTTCTAGGTCCTCAGCCGTGACCAATGTGTTCTCCTGCAGTGTCTGGTCCACATCCAAGGGGCCTGAGGTGGGGCCTATGTGGTCAGCCTCCTGCACTCTTCTGCACCACGATGCTTGTCTCGAGCATTTACAGTGTTCATGTACCAGCTCATTCATTAAGACTTGAACTGATGACCTGGTCTAGCAGCCAAGTGGGGCATGCAGACTTAAGATCAGTGTCAGATAAACTCTTCGGCGCGTTTTCTTCTGGTCCTTCTCACCACTCCAAGGGTCATCTGTTCCTAAGTGAGGGTGAGACCTCACCCAGGCCCACTGACCAGCAAGGACCAGGACCCCCACCCTGTTGCTCCTCCTGGGGCCTGAGAGCCTAAGCATCTGCCAGGCCGCTCCGCATGCAGCCCCACCTTTCAGGATGGTGTCCCTGCGAGAGAGGAGCTTGCCCCCCATTAGGCCTGAGAAGGGAAAGAGCATGGGTACCTCTTAGGGGGTCTTTTCTGTAAAATGACCAGGCCTGGTGGGGGTGTGAAGGTCACGGGTGACCACAGGCCCCCCATGCAGACAGGAACATCCATGGTGCTTCTCACAGGGTGGCTCACGGAGCCCAGGAGGAAGTTATAGATGGGTGCAGAGTGAAGGCTAGAGTCACCTTGCGGGGCAGGGGTCCCCCATGCTCATGGCTGGATGGCTCTTTGTGGGGGCTGGTGAGCAGGGGGACGTTTGCTGATTGGTGGTGGGACTGCCAAGGAGGCCCCAGGGCTTCATCCCTGGATGTCCCTGCCAGAGCCGGCCAGGACGAGCTGCAGCAGGACAGCCCCACCCCTAGCCGTCCACTATCGGCCTTGAGGGCGTGTCCTGAGACACCTGCTCCACCTGTCTCTGGGAATGCCCAGTCTGAGGATTCGACCATCAGGGCACCTGGGGCAGCATCTGCTCTGCCTTGGGCCTGGGCCCCCACCAGGCCAGGGTGGGAGAGGAGCCGTGTCCACACAACCAGGGGCCGCAGGAAGGCTTCCTGGGGCTCCGTTCTGCGTTCTGGGGACAGCCACCCGGCGAACTGCCTGCTCCCTGGCCAGAACCTTGAGAGGCTGTGGGGTTCCCACGGAGTTCCTAGGCACAGGGTGGCCCTTGGCCTGCCCAGGGCCCAGCTGTTCCAGGGAGGCAGGCTGGCCCCCCAGAGCCGCCTCTTCTCTGATGTTCGGAAACTCCCGAGGGGGCTCGGCTGCCCCCGGGTCCATCTGTCCCTGAGCCTATGTCTGCAGCCAGGGAAGGATGCCTGGCCAGGCTGCATCACTGACCTCCTGGTGGCCAATGCAGGGTGGGGACCCTCAGTATGAGGTCTGATGGGAGATGGAAAGGCAGGAGCGTCGGCCGCCACACTTGGGGGAAGTCCTGGGGGTCTGAGGAGAGTGAGCAGCCCACCCCTTCTTGCCCCCCAGGCCAGCCTCACTGGCCAGGCTGACGTGGACTTTTCCACTTCAGCAGGGATGGGGATCGTTGGGGGCCTGGGCTGTGCCCCTGGGGGCACTGCCGTCCTTTCCGTCCCCTTGTGTGAGGAGAAGGGGGCTGAGGTGGAGGTGGGGAGAACAGGGTCAGGGTCCCCGCCGGCTTCAGGGACCGTGAGGAAGTGAGAGGACGCTCCGCCGCCATCTGTGTGGGAGGCTGGGGCTGGGAGGGGCGTGACGTGGGACCCTCCAGACTCCCTCGGCCTCCCCTGTGGGTCCCTGTGGGGAGGGAGCAGACGGGAGGAGACGCCTTGTCCTTGCTCCGGTGTTCACACCAGGCCAGGCTTCTCACTTGGGGATGAAACAGGAAACAGAGCCACATTCAACCAGGACAGCAGGTCCAGGCAGGCAGGCTCTGGAGGCCCCGGCCAGGCACCGATGGGGCCCCCAGCTCGTCCACACCTCTGAGGGACCTCCCCCAGGGCCTTCCATTTCCCCCGACCCTGAGGTGCAAACCAGAAACCCAGAGTCATTCCAGCCACCTCCATGTCCCTCCCCTAGCCCGCCTCCAGGTCCTGCCAACTCTTTCTTGGAATTTGTCCCCCCTCCTGCGCCCCCAAGTCCCCAGCCCAGCCTCAGCCCTGCCCCACCCCCAGCAGCAAAACTCCACTCTGAATTTGTCCCTGTATCCCAATCTCCAGCCCTGGTTCCTACAGTGAGCCCCACACCCTTCCCCTGACCTTCGAGGCCTGTGCAGCCTGGCTCCTTGAGCCGTCTGCCACCGGGCACCCCTGGGCCTGGGTGTGACTGTCTCAGGCCCCCAAATAGTGGGGGTGGGATGGCTGGACTGGCCAGCCTGTGACCCTGATGGGCATCCAGGCCAGAAAGTGGGGGTATGGCGTGGGGGCAGGTGTCTGCAGTGGGAGCCCTGCACAGCCCCTCCACAGTTTCTGCATGCTGAGCCCCTCACCCAGCCCTGATTGGATCCAGGCCCTCACATAAGAGGCCCAAACGAGGCCGATTTTGGGGTCATCGGCTCAGGCCAACCAGGCAGGTGGGGCATGTCCCCTCGTGACCCCCACTATGTCAACTGCCATGGGGCCCCTGTGCCCCAGGAGGTGAGCGTGGAGGGTAGGCAGTGGGCACAGCCCTGGGTCACGGCTGGCAGCTCATCATTCTCTCATCGATTCATCGCTCAGCACCAGGAGCACCCAGATCCTATCAGGTTGGAGGTCAGCAAGAGGAGGACCCACCGCAACCTCAGGAGGTGGGCGCACAGACAGGACCGAGGGGGCCTGAGGAGGTGATGTGGGCAGAGGTCCTGGCCAGGGACCTGGGCATGGGACCCTGGAGGAGCTGCCTCAGCGAGTTGGGGAGGGGCGGCTGGGCCGACCTTTGGGGACCTGGCTCTCACTGCTGGGTGCAGGAGAGACAGGACTGGCTGAGTCCGCTGGATGCCCTCGCAGGACCACCTCATGCCCAGAGGGCAACGCCAAGCCCCTGGGGAGCCTAGCCCCAGAGGGAGGGGCGGAGGCTGAATCCTGCCACAGCCCAGCCTCTGACTCTCGCCCGGCCTAGGGGGAACCAGCTTTTGCGCCTGTGACTCTCGCCCGGCCTAGGGGGAACCAGCCTCTGCCCATGTCCCATTCCCCCTCTCCAGGCCCCCCATTCCCCCTCATGGGCCCCCACCCCCTCATGGAACAGATGGGAGCCCTGCCCCTTCCTGAGCCCAGGTCCCTCTCTCTCCTGTGTCACCTAACATCTCAGCCTCCATATGGGTCTTGGCCGCTCTCCCGTCCCCATCCTCGGCTTGGCCACCCTTCCTCATCTTGCTGTGGCCGGCTCCTCCTGGTGTCTCGTGCCCAGGCAGCCTGCTCTGTGTACCCACCTAATGCTGCCCTGCTGTAGGGTCTTCCTCTTGCTGATCTCTGACCTCTGTTGGCTCTTGGTGCTTCTCTGAGTGCTGCTGGGGCTGGGCAGCCTCTGAGGGTCCCGGGCCCCAGCTGAGGTGGTCAGTGGGTGCCAGGTGAGTGGGCGCAGCCTGAGGCCAGCCTATGGGGGTGGGGCAGGCCATCCCCCACCAGGGTAGACCCCTGCTCCCAGCCTCACCAGGCCCAACATGCCCTCCCCACAGGTTCATGATTGGGTCCCATCTCAGGTCCAGGGCCCCAGCTGAGCAGCAGGGGAACCGTGCCCGGGTCCAGTTAAGGTGTGCACTGAGGTGTGCTGTGGGACGCCAGGGGGCAGAGAGCCCTTGGGCAGTGGGGGAGAGCCTGCGTGGCCACGGGGGTTGGGAGGGGGTGTCAGGTGGGGAAGCCTCAGGAACACCTTGGGCACAGAGTGGGTGTAGGGGGTGCAGTCCCTGCCTTGGCTAGGCTCTGCTCCCTCTACACCACACCCAGCTCCTCCATCCCCATCCCGCTGCTCCACCCCAGTCCTCCAGCCTCAGCCCCCACCCAGCCCTCATCCTAGTCCCCCAGCCTCAGCTCCCAGCCCTCCACCATGGCACCCCCAGCCTCAGCCTTCCACCCCAGCCCCCACAGCCTCAGCCCCCACACCCTCCACCCGGCCCCCCCAGCCTCAGCCCCCAGCCCTCCACCCCAG